TGTTCTTCAGAGACCAAGGCAGGTGTGCTCTCTCCAGGGTGGGAGGGGCAGGGAACTATCTTAGCCTTCCAGCTGACACCTGCTCGCCATATAGCAGCACACACCTATCAACAGGGACACGGGGATGACTAAGACAGACAGGAACAAGCAGGAAAGATAGGACAGGTAACTAATTACACAGATACACACCCAAGCTACAATGATGGGCACTGATGTGAYRTACAGGGATCCCATGCAGGGAAAGGAGTTCAAGGAAAGCTTCCTGTGGCTTTTCAACTTGGACATGAGCCATGRGCAGGAGCTGGCTGGGCAAGGAGGGAAGGGAAGAGTGTTGGAAGCAGAGGGAACATCATGTGTAAAGCCCCCAGTGCTGCAGGTGAGAGAAGTCAGGAGTGAACTCAAGTGAGGATGAGGAGGAGCTAGACAGGGCCAGTCTAAATAAGGATTTTGATTTTCATCATGAATAAGAAGTTTTGGGGTTCTTTCTTTCTTTTTTTTTTTTTTTTTTTTTTGGCTAATACCAATCAAGGTCACTTGGAAGCAGAGACACCAGATGGGAGGCTTTAGCAGTTGTCCAGGAGAGAGCCTAGTGATGAACAGACCAGGGTGGCTACAGAAAGTAGCAGAAGCATGAGGAGAAAATGAGGTCAGTTTGAATACCATGCCTCTGGGAGCCTATAATCTTTCAGGTTGTGTTTCAGTATAAAATTTTGGCACTGTTTTCCTTGATGTTAAACTTTTTGTTAAGTATTGATCCTTCTATCATTGTGAATCTTCTGAGAGAATGAAAAATGACTTCAAGCTGAAGAAAGTTAAAGTTGATAGCAGAGCATATGGAATATTCTAGTAAACTAGTATAAGAATTGCAGACATTAAGCTATTCACATGTTAATTATTAGTTCATTAATATGATTGATTTCAAATGAGAGTACCTGAAATTTTCAAATTAATGTTAAGGATTTGTGAGCTGGAAGGAGCACAGCACTGGACTAGCTATAAGGAAACTCGATCATCTTTCTTCTGTCACTAAGTGATTGAGACTTGAGTGATTCATTTATTTGTCTTCCTCTCCTCATCTGTTTACTTCTCCTAAAATCATCATTCTCCAAAGGACTTAATAGTCAAGCTCTTTAGGGGACTAGGCTCTTCCAACTCTATGAAGAGGAACCCAAGCACAGAGAAGCTGGTGATTTGCTCAAGGTTAACAAAGGCAACACTGAACTCAGACATTCAACAAGTCCTCAGCCACACCAGCAGGCAGCCCTATCTTCATCGTTGAAGATTTTGCTTTAGGCACACTAATGAAAAGAATTACTGCAAAAGCTCTAACTTTCAGCAGCTAGACCTTTAATTGTTAGAAATTACCATATTTTTTAATTTGAAAGTATGTGGCTCCAGTTGTTGAGAAGTCCTCTTTATATTTAGCTTTAATTGTCCATACACCGAATCTGTGGAAACAAAATGTTTAATATTATAGCTGTGATAAAATATTTTTAATTCACTCAGGGAAACTGAATAAATTCCTATTTTAAAGAAGTTACAATGAAAAAATATATATACATATATATATATATATATACACACATGTTTATATATATGTATATATATATATATGTACATATATATATATATCTTCTAAGTAAATGTTTTGTTTACGTGATATTTTTAAACAATAAACAGAAATAATTGAATATTTGGGGGATTATAGAAATTTTTAGTAATTAGTTCTTCGTATATTGGTTTATTTTTCCAAGGCTTTGTTTTTATTCTTTTTCTTTGAGGTATTGGAGATTGAACCCAGGGGCTCTCTACCACTGAGCTACATCCCCAGCCTTTTTTTTTTTCTTTTGAGATAGGGTCTATCTGTTAGCAGGGTGACCTCAAACTTGTGATCCTCCCACTTCAGCCTCTGGAGTCAATGGGATTATAGGTTTGCATTATGATACCCACCTATTTTAACTTAATTTAGATTCACTAAGCTTTGATTTGAAGAACTGATGATAACTTGAAATTTATTTAATCCTGGAGCTTAACTATGTTACCATAACACTAAAGTCCCAATAGAGCAGCAAATTCATAATAATAATAATAAATCTGGAAACATACACAATATGTAGGTCAAGCATATGTGGATAATAATATTCACACCTTTTGTAAATGAAATTCTGGTTGGAGACAAGTTATGGTTTCTTTAAGAAGGAAAATGACTTACTTACCAAACAACTTTTATTCAAAAATATTTACTGAGCACTAGATAATGCACTAGAGATGTAAAAATGAACAAAATAGCTGGGCATGATGGCATACACCTATAATCCCAGTGTCTCAGGAGGCTGAAGCAGGAGGATCACAAGTTCAAAGACAGTCTCAACAACTTAGCATGGCCCTAAGCAACTTAGCAAGACCCTGTCTCAAAATAAAAATAAAAAACAAAAAGTTCTGGAGATGTGGTTCAGTGATTAAGTACTCCCTCCCCCCAAAAAAAGAACAAAATAGAAGAAACCTGTTCTTCATGGAGCTAATAGGCCACATGAGTTCAAATTGTCACTTTTCTATTTACTAACAGGTTTAACTTGTGTAAGTTACTTAACCTTATTTTGAAATGACAAAAAGAACACCTACCTTAAGACTGATTGTCAATTAATGTTAATATTATGACTATGATTATTAGTATCATCATAACTCAATGAGTATTCACCAAGAGCCTATTATGTTGAAGTGCTGTGATACATCAGTGAGCTATATGGACAAGGCCCCTGCCCTCAAGGAATTTACAAAATAGTGTGGAAGAAAAGGCAAGCTGATTAATAGGTAAACAACTACCATATTGAAATAAGTGTCATGAAAAAAAAATACACAAATATGGAGATAAAGAAAGTGAGGGACTCCATAGATYGATAGCCTTTTTGCAAAGGCAGCATTTTCCCTGAGGCCTAAAGATGACAGGAAGCTTGCGCTGTGAAGGACAAGGTGAAGCACACTCTAAACAGGGGCAACAGGCTGGGGAAACTACTGGTCAGTCAGATTCCCATTGCCAGTACATTATCTCCCAGTGACACAAGATAGAGACACCATAATAGTAGTGAAGTAATAGGCTTGATTCCGTACTCTATGGCATGTAGCATTTTCAAGAAAGGACACAATTTGTAAATCATTCAAATTATCAGAGTCACTCAATTTCAGTCCAAATTTTTAGGAAATGACTTGATAATATAATATAACTCCCCTCTAGAGGACAGAGGAGAAATGACCATAAAAATATTGTGTCTCAAAGTTACAATGTCGCCATCTCTAAGTGCCCTTGTCTTATGAGTCCTCCTCTATTTTAAGTTCCTTCAAAGCAGGGATTGTGGATTCTTGGTTTCCATTGAGCACCTCTCCCTCCCATGGTGATTTACACATGCCAGGAATGTGTTCATTAATGGTGTGTTACATCAGATCCTGTGCAGAACGATTTTAAGTCCTTTCACGTGAAGACCAATGAGGAAATGGCTCTAACTGTCCCCATGTTGGACTCTGCCTTCTGGTGGTCTATGCAGACAGAAACTACAGAGGACCTGATTATCTAACACCCAGGCAAAGAATGGCACCACGCCAGTCTCTTGGACCCATAGCCTACAGAATTCCTTCAGAGGTGGGAGGTGATGCTTTTGATGAAAAGAAGCCCAAGGACTATTTTTGTCTCTTTCCAATTGTTATTTCTATATGTTAAGAGAATGAATGAGACATATTGGGATTTTTTTTTCCTCTTTTGAGACATGGTCTCACTATGTAACCCATCCTGGCCCCCATCTCCTGGGCTTAACCAATCCTCCTACTTCTGCCTCCTGCAAGGTCTATCAACTTGCCTGGCCAGGCTCTAGTACTAAGAATGMCCCCCACCCCCTCCCCCCCCCCCCACCCACCCCCCGGCCCCAAGGAACTGATCCAACTTTTCCAAAGACTGAAGACTTTGCATATCCACATTTGTGACATCTTTTGTTAACACTAGGTGGCTTCATTTGACTGTCTGCTTCAAGGCCAAAAGTTCCTGATTTGCTTTGTAGAGGGAACTTTATCAAGTAATATTTTTACATACATAGGATTAGATGGAATCTTGAAGTCAGGAAAAGAGATAATCCCAGTATAATCATTTTCTTCTACTATGTCAACTTCTGATCCTTCAGGATCCTTAAAATAAAAACAAACACACCCTTGTCTTAGTTTATTTTCTGTGGCTGGATGGAATATCTGAGAGACTGGGCAACTGGTGAAGAACAGAGATTTATTTAGGCTCACTGTTCTGGAGCCTTGGAAGTCCAAGAGGATGGTGCTGGCATCTGGGGGGACCCTGGTCTTGTTTCTCTTATGGTGGAAAAGGGGAAGGGCAAACAAGCCCATGGGAAAGAGTTTGCTCTGATGACAAAGCCTCTCCCAGAGAACTCACCTGCTCCCCTGAGAATGGCCTAATTCATTCATCAGGGTGGAGCCTTCTGACTCCTCCCCTGGCCCCACCTCCCAACACTGCCTCACCTGAGCTTGGGGCACATACTCAATCCACAGCAGCCCTGAAGGCTCAGAAACCACATTTTAACAAATTTCAACAAATTATATGATCTTTGACCTGCAAAAACACTTATCAACCAACACTCCTCTTTTCAAATTAAATATGAAAGACAAAATTCTGTTTAATGTTATTGAAGGCAAATATTGTTTGTTTAAAGCCACTTCCTTCCTGTTTTTGGAAGCTCCCCTGTCTGTCCTCATCATTTGGAGGAGGCTCTACTCTCTATTTTACAATTTAATAAAGAAGTGTAACAAAATGTAAACAACAGCAAAGTATCCCTGAGGCTTCTAATAAACCAAATGTGAGCCTAACAGGCTTTAGAAATATCAGAATTTATTTTTTATATGTGTTCACTTGAAATTCTCCAACACAAATATTCTGCAAACTGAATTTTATTAGCTAGACAATTTTTAAATGTGCAGTGTGGGCACTGTTTAAATTTACCTTTGTTTATTTAGTTTTTTGTTTTGTTTTTATGGTGCTGGGGATCGAACCCAGTGCCTCACACATGACTACACCAACTTGAAAGTTCTCATAAAATGTCCCTGCATGCTTCATTTTGCATTTGGTTTAGCATATTATTAGGATGAGGTTTTGTGGGTCTTGGAACTACACTTGGAGGTCAGGTTGAACCTTAACTGAAAATCTAAGCACTATTTATCCAGACTGAAATTCATGGTTGGAATTTTAAGCTTTTTTTTCCCTCTTGAATGACAAACTAACAATTACAAAAGCCTATTTTGAGGAAGAAATTACACTTGTAGCTAAGTAGCTTCCCTGCTGTTCTTCATCTAATCATCAGTTTACAGGATCCATCTAATATGATCTTTCTGAGTACTCTTTTCAGGAAATTTACTGCATTCTGACTCCCTGCAGCTGTTGGATCAGCTCCTCTTCCTCCCCCTCCCTGGGGAAGCTCTTACTTGGGATCACTGGCATCCATTTTCTGTGTGATGCCAGGATTCGGCTTCACTCACGATCAACGATGAGACCTGGGCTAGAGAGCCTGCGTCCACAGCCCTGGTATTCTCCAATAGAGCTGAGGTTGCTTCTGCTTAGTTCTCTTCCAGACAGTCTATCAGTCTGGAATTTATTTACTCTTCTCACTTTTTAGTCTTCCTGCTCCCATAGATGAACTCATGCTGTTTCTTAAATGGAATGGTATTTATTATTGTAAAAGAACCTATGTCTGTGTTATGGTTTAGATATTAGATGTCCTCCAAAAACTCATGTGTAAGAAATGACATGATTTGGTTATAAGAGTATTAATCTAATGTGCATTAATCCACTTGACAGGATTAATCGGGTGGTTAGCTATAGGCAAGCAGGGTATGGCTGGAGGAGGTGGGTTACTGGGGGTATGCACTTAGGGTTTATATTTTGTCCATGATGTGGGGGCACCTGCACCCAGCCCCTCTCGTTCTTGGTGGCCATGCCTTGACCTGCTTTCCTCTACCAAACTCCTGCGACATATCCTGCCTGATCTTGGGCCCAGAGYAATGAAGCTGGTCGTCTACAGTCTGAGACCTCTGAAACCATTAGCCCCAAAATAAACTAAAATTGTTTTTGTCCGTTCTTTTAGTTGTAGCAGCAAAAAAAAAGGTGACTAACACAGTTATATCCTTTCAATAAGGCCCAGTTCAAGGGATTCTTTATTTATTCCAGAAAAGCATTACATATGCCCTCACTCTCACCCTATATTGCTTTCCTTTGAGCTTCTGTCACCTACATTATTTTTCCTACTGCATAATTGGTTCAGTTTATATTCTACTATAGTTTTTCTCTCTAGTATCTACTCTTTTGTGCTTGAATTCTGACAAGGATTTGTTATTTTTCAGAAGAGGTGACCCAGCCTATTATAAAAGATCATTACCCCTATACCTACTATTAATAAGTGAGTAGTTATGAGTAATTGAAGTATTTTATTTCCCCATAAAAAATATCCTAGGTATGTGTGGAAACTGGGTAAAATTGTCAGTTTATTACAATCTTACTAACTGGGTAAGACCATGGAAGTTTATTATACATCTTTTATTATGTATGTCATGTCTGAAAAATGGCTGATAATTGCTCATGTCATAGTTCAGCAAAAATTTCCACACATGTTAGCATACTAGTTATTAAACTCTAAGTTCCTTCAAAGTAAGAACTATGGATTATAATTCTTCAACTTAAGTCATGCAAATCAAAAATCAATGCATAAGACAGATATTCAACTAATTCTTAGTGATTGATGGGTATTCTTAAAAATGAAATAATAAAGGATGTATTTAAACAGTTTAAATAAAATAAAATTCTTCAACTTGCTGAGATTTAATTTTTATTAGTTTTTTATGTATTTATATTATAGACATATACATCTATAATGCTATTTTGATAGTAGATGCTTAATAACCATTTATGGGATATTGAATGATTGAGTGTAGAGTAAGGACAGGATTATAGAATAGGACTTTTGAGTTAATATTATTTAAATAAATCATATACTTACGATGAAAGTTAAAACAGTTTTTCTTTTGGCGGGCTTCCAATCATCATTCAGAGAATAAACTCTAACCTTTACTATAAAAAAAATTAATATAATCAAAAACTGTGCTAAGCATAAGAATATTTTGATGTTTAAAAACAATCATCCTTAAAAGAAAAATTCTCATTTTAAAAACTTAATAAACAATCAATACCTGATAATCTATATTTAAAGCCAGGCACAGTGGCACACGCTTGTAATCCCAGTGGCTCAGGAGGCTAAGACAGGAGAATTGCAAGTTCCAGGCCAGCCTCAGAAATGGCAAGGTGCTAAGCAACTCAGTGAGTCCCTGTCTCTAAATGAAATACAAAATAGGGCTGGGGATATGGCTCAGTAGTTGAGTGCCCCTGAGTTTAATCCCTGGTACCAAAAAAAAAAAAAAATACTTAAAAGAAAGAAAATGTCACTTTGTAGATGTTGATATTTCTAAAAATTCTTTATGTTAAAGGGAATCCTCTAAAATTTCTTTAAAGAGTTACTCCAATAATTTCTTTTTTWAAAAAATTTTGGTTCCAAATATTGATTGAATTCAGGAGTATTCAACTACTGAGCCACATCAGAAGCCCTTTTTATTTTTTATTTTGAGACAGGGTCTCAGTAAGTTGCTTAGGGCCCCACTAACTTGCTGAGGCTAGCCTTGAACTTTTGATCCTCCTTCCTCAGCCTCCAGATGTGCTGGGATTACAGGCATCCACCACTGCTCCCAGCTCTCCCAGTGAATTTAAAGTACAATTTATTTTATTAAACAAGTCATGATAAATATAACTATAGTATAAAATTAGTTATATTAGGCCATTATTTGTTACAGATATCAGAAGTAGCAAAATAGTGACATCTACCATATGGTTATATAAAAGAATAAAATATTGTTTTATATTAGGGTTAAAGATTTCAATGAAAAGTTGGGAGTTTGAATCAGACCTTTGAATCCAACAAGGCCCAAAATAGCTTTATTGCAAAAGGCAGCTTTAAATTATATGTTTTTGTTACATTTATTAAGTCAGGTCTTTCCAATATTTTCTCATTCTTAGAAGTGTAATGCCAGGGGACTGGGGTTGTGGCTCAGTGGTAGAATGCTTGCCTAGCTCATGTGAGGCCCTGGGTTCGATCCTCAGAACCACATAAAAATAAATGAATAAACATTTGTGTCCAACTAAACTAATAAATAAATAAATATTTTTAAAAAGAAGTGTAATGCCAGGGGCTTATATTGTTAATTTTCTTTCTGWCAATTAATACATTCCTACTTTTAAAACATATCCTCTGTTCATCTTCCACCTCTTTGCTGTTTGATAAACACTGACCAAGTGCCTTCTAAGGACATGTTGTAATTTCTCTAAGGTTTTGCTGATGCCTAAATCATTTCATGGCCAAAGTTCTATCCACATAATAAAACTGGATTGGTACTATAAGCCCAATATGATTTACAGGATCAGTAAATAACAAGGCCATTGTTAAGGAAAGCACTGATAGCCATGAAAGGTCCCAGACATTGGGTATTAGACTAGGTACTTACTGGATAGTGACGCTGACCCTAGRTGGTAGGCAGGGAAAACAGGACCCAGTCAAGGAGCGTCATTAATACAGGAAGAAGAAAGGGCGAGGTTGTGCTTGTTTCTAGGTATGATCAAGCTTAAAAGACCTGACCTGTGTGGGGTAGAGACTGTTAACTTGTCACCAAGCCATCCTCAAGGGGCAGGAGATGGCACTGTTCCAGCAAGGACATTCTGTCTAACATGATGGCAATATCCCCACTCTCTCTGGACCTTTCCATTGAGAGGATTTTAACAGGTGCCCCTGCTAAAGAAGTAGTGGTACTGCCATGTCCCATCTCAGTGTTGATGCCAACTCCACCAACATTTAGCAAGTCCCCATTGTGTGCCAAATTTTTCAACAAAACCTGCTGGTTCTGCCTTCTTTCCCCAAAACTATCACTAATGTCAGAGGCTCCCCYGTTTACAGACACATTCTCATAATCCTGTCTCTGGCGTGGTCAAGAGGCAAAGATGGTGAGGAGGAGAGATGGGGAGGTGAAGGCTTTGCACACATGACCATGTAGGCAGAATCATGCTTTTCTGGGTTTAACTTTTGATCCACTGAGAATATTTCCAGGCACTCCTCACTAGGGTTAGACTGGCTATTCTGCTTTTCCCCTCTAACAAAAGAACAGTGTGTTTAGCAGACATTTTCTCAGGTAGAAACTCTTTGAAAATTAATATCCACACATTTCTGTGAGCTGGTGTATTCTCTGCTGAAACATCTAATCCCCTGGGCTTGGATTTGTTTCCCCAGTTTGGGGATCTGCTCCAGAGTCAATTTTTCATGTATGTGGTTCTATAATAAGTTATTTTCCCATTGCCAAAATTGTATTTGCAATTAAGTCTTACATTTGTTTAACAGGTAAGCTCAACATTTTACAAAGTTTAATAAGTGAAATAACTGTGACAGACCAGATAATTAAATTGTTTATTCCACAATTTATTTAGCAACTTCTCCCTAAATTAAAATGCTATTTGCAAATGTAAAAGTCTTTAGGACTGAGTCTCTTGAGCAGGGTTGAAAACCTATCTCCAATTTCAGGTGTTAAAAAGTTCTACAACACAGTGTCAAATTTCCCCAGAGAAGGAAGAATCTTGCACTCTACCTGACTGGTGTGGAGCGTAAACAGGTTTGTCTGTATGAACGAAGAGATATCCATTGTCATAGCTTATTGGCATTTTTTTTGATYTTGAAAAATGCTTTGATACGACTTCCAAATATACATATGAAACAGAGCCTTTTTCTCCAGACAGTTGTTTGGGTTGTATCTGTAAAAGAAAATATTGCTAGAAAAGAGAAAAGTAATTCTAGGGTTCTAGGACAAGTTGACTTTCTCAACACCACTGCAATCTCATTAAAAGAAAAAATGAATGTGTGGATCTCACCATTAGTGAAGTAGACTGGGATTCAGAAGAGTCAATTAAATTTACCCCAAGCCCTTTCAGTGTCAATTATTATCAACCTTATCTTTAAGAACGGGACAGTTGGGGCTGGGGATGAGGCTCAAGGGGTAACACGCTTGCCTGGCATGCGCGGGGCGCTGGGTTCGATCCTCAGCACCACATAAAAATAAAATAAAGATGTTGTGTCCACCGAAAACTGAAAAAATAAATATTAAAAAATTCTCTCTCTCTCTCTCTCAAAAACAAAAAACCACACAAACAAACAAAACGGACAGTCTTCTTGGTTCCATGTTTGCTAAATTTACACACTCTTAATGCAGCCACTGCTACTGAACTGATGAGAAACCTCTGCCTGGTCAGCTCCCTGATGAGCCCTGCTCTCCACGGCCTCTGGCAGCCTGGTTTAGGCTCTGCACACTCTGTGCCCATCACACACTGCTGCTCCTGGGCCACGGTGCATACTTCCCAATCTGAGCATATAATTATACTCATCCCCTTTACTTTCAATGATATGTGATTTTACACAAAAAAATATGTAATAAAAGGAAGCACAGTGTTTCTCAGAAAATTAGGATTTAAAACATGTTGAAAATAAATACTAAAACCAAAGCTATAGAATTACATATTTGAGATTATTGTAGAAATTTTGAAAACATTATAAAAATCTGTAGTATTCTATGCTCGGATTACTATGCAAAGCATCTTGATTTCCTTCTCCACTCTTAAGAAACACTACAGAACAYGCATGATTCTGTAGTGTAACCTGTAATAAATAAGATCTGAACGTGGGTCAATGGCCTTGTCCTTAGAAGATAGTGGCACAACATCCAACAATTGGCAAAAAAAGATACATTGGAATGTTAAGATAAAATTAAATGCTTCATAAACATTGATTGGTTTAAATTTAAAGGTAGCTAGTAGCAACCTTACAACTTATCAGATAAGAAGTGCTTACTGAAAATAACACTTGTGGGGAATGAATTTTAATTCTTAATAAACCTGAAAGTATTAGTATTTGCCATCAGAAGTTTCATGAAGTATCCCTATGCTGGCTAGAATTTATTAAGATTGATTTTCCTTAAACATGAGTAATATATGCACCACCTTTTTAAAAAAATTATTTGTTTTAATTAGTTATACATGACAATAAAATGCATTTATGCACTTTGATATATCATCTCATAGATGGGATATAATTTCTCATTTCTCTGAGTGTACATGTTGCAGAATCATTATTGGTCATGTAGTAGCACATATACATACAGTAATAATTTCTGTTTCATTCTGCTATATTTCCTATCTCCATATCCCCTCCCCTTCCCTTCTATCACTTTCCTCTACCTAATCTAAGGTAACACTATTCTTCCCTAGTGTGTTCTGCCTTATTGTGAATTAGCATCTGCATATTAGAGAAAACATTCAGCCTTTGGTTTTGTTGGATTGGCTTATTTTGCTTAGCATGATATTCTCCAACTCCAACCATTTACTAGCAAATGCCATAATTTTACTCTTCTTTAAAGCTGAGTAATATTCCATCGAGTATATATACCACATTTTCTTTATCCATTCATCTATTGAGGGACACCTAGGTTGGTTCCATAGTCTAGCTATTGTGAATTGAGCTGCTATAAACATTGATGTGGCTGTGTCCCTGTAGTATGCTGATTTTAAGTCCTTTGGGTATAAACCAAGGAGTGGGATAGATGGGTCAACTGGTAGTTCTATTCCCAATTTTTTGAGGAATCTCCATATTGCTTTCCATAGTGGTTGCTCCAATTTGCAGTCCCACCAGCAATGTATCAGTGTACTTTTTCCACCACATCCTCACCAACATTTATTGTTGCCTGTATTCTTGATGATTGGCATTTTGACAGGAGTGAGATGAAATCTTATAGTAGCTTTGATTTACATTTCTCTAATTGCTAGAGATGTTGAACACTTTTTCATATATTTGTTGATCAATTGTATTTCTTTTTCTGTGAAGTATCTGTTCAGTTTCTTAGCCAATTTATTGATTGGGTTATTTGGTTTTTATGGGGAGCGGGGTGTTAAGTTTTTTGTGTTCTTTATCTATCCTAGAGAATAATGCTTTATTGGAGGTGCATGTGGTAAAGATTTTCTCCCAGTCTGTAGGCTCTCTCCTCACTTTATTAATTGTTTCCTTTGTTGAGAAGCAGCTTTTTAATCCTTCCCATTTATTGATTCTTGATTTTACTTCTTACGCTTTAGGAGTCTTGTTAAGGCCAATGTGGTGAAGATTTGGGCCTATTTTTTCTTCTATTAGGCACAGGGTCTGTTCTAGTGCCTAAGTCTTTGATCCACTTTGAGTTGATTTTTGTGCAGGGTGAGAGACAGAGGTTTAATTTCATTTTGCTACATATGGATTTCCAGTTTTGCCAGCACCATTTGTTGAATAGGCTAACTTTTCTCCATTGAATGTTTTTGATACCTTTGTCTAATATGAAATAACTACATTTATGTCAGGCAGGGTTTGTCTCTGTGTCCTCTATTTTGTACCAATGGTCTACAAGTCTATTTTGGTGCCAATATCATGCTGTTTTTATTACTACAGTCTTGTAGTATAGTTTAAGGTCTGGTATTGTGATGCCTCCTCCTTCACTTTTCTTGCTAAGGATTGCTTTAAATATTCTGGGTCTCTTATTTTTCCAAATAAATTTTATAATTGCTTTGTCTATTTATATGAAGAATGTCATTGGAATTTTAATAGGAATTGCATTAAATCTGTATAATGTTTTTGGTAGTATGTCCATTTTGACAATATTAATTCTGCCTACCCAGGTACATGGGAGATATTTCCAGCTTCTGAGGTTTTCTTCAATTTCTTTTTTTCTTTTAGTGCTTTGTAGTTTTCATTGTAGAGGTCTTTCACCTCTTTTGTTAGATTGATTGCCAGATATTTTATTTAATTTCTAGAAACATATGACCTACTCAAACTGAATGAGGATGTCATACATGATTTAAATACATCAAGTTCAAGTAATGAAATAGAAAAAGCCATCAAAAGCCTACCAGCCAAGAAAAGTCCAGCACCAGATGGATTGTTTTACAGAATTAAAAGACTTTCAAAGAAGAATTAACACCAATACTCTTAAAAGTATTCCATGAAATAGAAAAGGAGGGAACCCTTCTAAACTCATTCTATGAGGCTAATATTACCCTGATATCAAAACCAGACAAAGACACATCAAGGAAAGAAAACTTCAGACCAATATCCCTAATGAACATAGATGCAAAAATTCTCAGTAAAATTCTGGCAAATTGCATACAAAAACATATCAAAAGGATAGTGCACGATGATCAAGTAGGGTTCATCCCAAAGATGCAGGGTTGGTTCAACATACGGAAAATAATAAATGTAATTCATCATATTAATAGACTTAAAAACAAGAATCATTTGATCATCTCAATAGATGCAGAAAAAGCATTTGACAAAATACAGCACACCTTCATGTTCAAAACATTAGAAAACCTAGAGATAGTAGGAACATACCTCAACATTTTAAAAGCTGTATATGCTAAACCCAAGGCCAGCATCATTCTAAATGGAGAAAATTTGAAAGCATTCCTGCTAAAAACTGGAACAAGACAAGGATGTCCTCTTTTACCACTTCTATTCAACATCATCCTTGAAACTTTAGCCAGGGCAATTAGACAAAAGAAAGAAATTAAAGGGATACAAATAGGTAAAGAAGAACTCAAACTATCACTATTTGCCAATGACATGATTCTATATCTAGAAGACCCAAAAAATTCCACCAGAAAACTTCTAGAACTAATAAGTGAATTCAGCAAAGTAGCAGGATATAAAATCAACACCCATAAATCAAACGCATTCCTATACATCAGTGGTGAATCCACTGAAAGAGAAATTAGGATAACTACTCCATTCACAATAGCCTCAAAATAAATAAATAAATAAATAAATAAATAAATAAATAAATAAAATACGTACCACCTTTTTAACTGGGGAATGAACCCAAGGGGATTTTACACTGAGCAACATACACAATCTTTTTTTAATTTTGAGACAGGGCCTTGATAAATAGCTGAAATTATCTTTGAACTTGTGATCCTCCTGCCTTAGTCTCCTAAATTGCTGGGGTTAATTGGGGTGCACCACTGCGCCTAGCTCTATACATTTTTTAAAGGATAAAATATATAAAAGATTCTCAGCATTGACACTTGATTATTTATAACATATTTTAAAAAGACATAAATAAATATAAACCTAATATAAGGTAGAATCTTATGCTTATGACTTTTACAGAATTAAAAAGTAAAAACAGGGCTTGGTGTGTGGCTCAGMAGTAGAGCATTTGCTTAGCATGTTCAAGGCCCTAGGTTCTATCTTCAGCACCACATAAACATAAATAAATAAAATAAAGGTATTGTATCCAACTAACACTAAAAAATAAATATTTTTAAAAATCAAGACAGATTTACAAAATGAGTTCAAAAATTAGAAAAGTAACATAATTTTAATTTGAAGCTCTTTATAAAATCTAAATTTTTAATTTCTTTTTAAACAACTCATTGTAGAGAAACAATGATGCAAATGAGTCCCAGAGGTCCTTTCAACTTTGATGTTTAATTTTTCTGATTATTTTTAAATATCAGAATTTTAAATAAGAAATGAATCATAAGCATCCTCAAGTCTGTACTGCAGTATCTTAATAGAAGAAGTTATTTGGTCAAGGTTGATATTTCTATTTACTGTGGAATGCTGATGAGAGCTATTTACTTTAGTAGTCAATAGTCTTATTACTTTTGGAAGCTATGGTTTTAGAATATTTTCGTTTAAACAAATGCACACAATTTTACTTCCCAATTAGAATCTGAACATTCACTTGAATTGAAGACACAATTTTTCAGTTTAGAATTTTCTATTTCACTCAGATTAGCATTAGCAACTGATAATCATCTAATAATTACACAGTGATAGCGTGGTGCAAATGGTCAAATCTTATGTTTATCAATATTCGAATTTTGTACATATTTTATCAGAAATATTCTGCATATAAAAATAAAATGAAGGATAAATACATACCGTTAAGATTGCAGAGTTTTGGAATTTATTTTCTGGGGATAAAATAACATAGTTTGAAGAGTAACTAATTTTTTTATCAGGATAACTTTTAATAGAGACTGTTGCATCAAATGCTTCAGTGTATCCATAAGCTTGAATTACAATATTTTCAGATGCTCCAACATGAAATATGTTCGGTGCTGAAATGACATAGCTGTTGAAATAGGAAAAAGTTCAGTATCTTTATAAGACATGTGTTCTTATACTGATTTTTTTCTCTCACTTGTGAGATTCAACTTGAAATAGACATATTTCAACTTAAATAATATTTAAAAATAAAAATKTATTTTGTGATCTATGATAATTTCAAAGAAAAAAGAGGTTGGAATTAAGACCTGGGAAATAGAGCTGGGGATTTTGTTTATGTTTGGAAAGGTAATAATAGCAGCCAGGGAGAACTCCATGGTATTCGCGGCAACATAGAAGTGGGCACTTGTTTTTCTCCCTCCCTCCCTCCCTCCCTCCTTTCCTGTCTTCCTTCTTTCTTCCTTCTTTTCCATTCTCTCTATCTCCCTTTCTCCCTCCTTTTCTCCCTTTCTCTTTCCTTTTACTTCCTTTCTTCCTTCCTTCCCTATTTTTTCTTTCTCTTCCTCCCTCTCTTCCTCCCTCCCTCTCTTTCTTTCTCCCATTGGGGGGAAAAAAAAAAATATATATATATATATGCTAAAAATTGAATTTCAACCCTGCCATCTGCTGGCTGAATGACTGAGGTAAAGTCACTAATCCTCCCTGAGCTCAAAATAATACATCTGTTAAAATTTCAGCGTGTATTTTCTTTAAACCAGACTGTGGTCAGGGTTAAATAAGATCATGTATATGACAGCACCCAGCATGCTTAGTACTCAACATTAAGAATAAGATCCACCATTTTCACTCAGTTAGTTCAAAAGAACTGATCTTAGAAATATGACTTTCTAGTGAGGGGATAAAGGCACAGAACATGAGTGAGCTGGAGGAAGGAATCTGGCAGTAATGATGAAGCTCTGTGAGGTAACAGAATAACAACAATCATACAACARTAATCATAAAGGCAGTAACTTGGGTAGTGATGTGTCAGAGCATGTTTTCATCTTTACAAGTTGGCGATGTAGGTGCTATTATTATTCCTGTTTTAGTGATCAGAGGTTAATTTGATCAATATCTCAAGACTTATAAGTAAATGAGGTGAAAATTTATATTAGGGTCCCAGTTGTATATAATGTATATAATTGAGGTTAAAATTACAAGCACTGTTCCAACCACTGGCTGTTGCCTCCATTTTACTTTTATGCCTTTATATAAGAATGGAAATGAACCTATACAAGCTTTGAAACACAAATTTAAGATGTGTGAATTTTTCATTGTCTTATTAGATGCACTTATAATAAATAGAATATTTTTATGTATCAGTGAAGTATCTAATTTGAATAGTGAGAGCTGCGTACGAAGCATTTATCAACCCCAAAGGCCTTAGTGATTGACTAAGTGAATTGTTCCGACAGGCTTGGGGGGCACCCACCACCACACTGGACAGAATTACTGCACTGCACTTTCTTTTTCTTTCTTTCCTCCTTTCTCTGCTTCCTGACTGCCATGTGGTAAGTAGCCTTCTTCTCCACCCTCCCACTGTCATGATGTTCTGCTTTGCCTCAGACCCAAAACAATGCAACCAGCTAACAATAGTCTGAAACCTCTGAAATCATGAGCCAAAATAAGTTTTTCCTCCTTTGTTTTTCTCAGGCATTTTCCTCAAAACAACGAAAAGCTTGTAACAAAGATACCTTTACCAAATCTTTACTATGTGCTAGGCACCATCCTAAGCACCTATATATTCATACACATATATTTTAGTCAGCTTTTTATGTCTCTGTGACCAAAAGATCTGACAAGAACAATGTAGAGGAGGAACAGTTCATTTTGGCTCGTGATTCGAGAGATTTCAGTTCATAGTCAATTGACTCCAGAGCTCTGAGCCTGAGATGAGGCAGAACATGGCATTGGAAGGGCATGGCAGATGACAGCAGCTCAGGACATGGCAACCAGGAAGCAGAAAGAGAGAGCATTGTGCTCAACAGAGACAAAATATAAACCTCAAAGTTGTGTCCCCAGTGACTTACTTCCTCCAGCCACACTTTACGTGCCTGCAGCAACCACCCAGTTAACCCATATCAGTGGATAAATCTAAGTTACTGCTCTTATAATTTAATAATTTCACTTCTGAACATTCTTGCATTGTCTCATACATGAGCTTTTGGGGAACACATCGTTTCTAAACCATAGCATCCCACCTTTGACCTCCAGATGTTTATGTCATCTCACAATATAAAATACATTCATTTTTTTTAGAGTCCCATAGTCTTCATAGCACTGTTGAAAGTCCATATCCAAATCTTATCTGAGACTCAAGGCAAACCCTTGGATACTTTCCCTTGTGAAGATCAATGGCAAGTTATATATGTCATATAAACATTTTCATTTTGCAAGGAGGAAATAAGAACGTAAAAAGAAAGGATGAGACCAAAGCAAGATTATAATTTAGCTCAGCAATCAAATCCTGTAGCTCCATGTCTAGTATATGGGGCACATGGCATTGTAACGGTTTTTCTAAAGGGCTTATGTAGTTTTGCTCTATGGCCTTGTTGACTGTAGTCCATATGGTCCTCTCTTGGCTTGCCTCTGCTCAATTCCAGCAGCTTTCCTTGCCAGACATTTCATAGTACTGTTATCCCTCCATCTTGAGGGTTTCCATTGCAGCTTCAGCTTCTTTCTCACATCTTTATGCATCACATCCTCAGGGGATGCTCACAGGGACTGTGTGGTTTCCCATCATCTTCAGCAGTAGCCAAGCCTCCTGGAACCATACCTGCAGCAGCCTCTGAGCGCCTGGGTGGCTGATCATTGTTTAAAAAACAAAAACAAACAAAAAACAAAAACAAACAAAAAAACCTTCCTAGGCTCCCCTGTGTAAGCAGGGTACTCCTTTGTCTCATCTCAAATAAATTTTTACTTCTGTACCCTTAACCCTAAGGGGCATAGTCTTGTCAATTTCTAAGATGTCCTTAAGCCATCTTTCTTATTGTTTTGAGTACAGTGGTTAGCATCTTTTTAGTGGTTTTAATCTCTTTGACAACTAAAACGTTCATAGTCCCAGTTTTATTTGCACTTGTTTAACCAAATTGGAAATTTTTCATATCTTTCTTCTCTGGATTCTTTCCTGATTATCACAGTAAACTTGGCTAAAATTCATCAGCAATATTTATGCCACTCCATGAATGTTGTACTGCCTTGAAATTTCCTCTGCCAGATAAATTAGTCCAGCACTTTTCAATTTAGTCTCACCGTAGGTGTTAGGACATGTACCAAATATAAGCAACTTTTTTTTTTGTCTTAATGTAACATTAATGGCCTCCAGTCCAATTTTTCAATAGAGTCCTCTTTCTCCTCTGAAACCTCATGAGCCCAGTCAGTATTTACTGTCTGCATTTCTGTCAGCATTCTGAGCCCCCACTAGATTCACCCATTCAGCTCTACTTACAACATTTTTTAAGTTTTTCAGCTTTTATCTCTAGACTTTTCAAAATCCTCCCTCCCCTTTAATCCAGCTCTGAAGGCTTTTGAAGTACATGGTCAGTGTAGTCAAAGCATTAACCCTACTCCTGGCATCAACTTTTGTTTTGGTCATCTTTTACACCACTGTGACCAAAAGACCTTACCAGAACAATRTAGAGGACAAAAAGCTTATTTTGGTTCATAGTTGGAGGCTCAGTCCATGGTCTTCATAGCCTTGGGCCTGAGGTGAGGCAGAACATCATGATAAAAGCACAAGGCAGGGCTGGGGATGTGGCTCAAGCGGTGGCGGGCGTGCAGCCTGGGTTCGATCCTCAGTACCACATACAAACAAAGATGTTGTGTCCGCCGAAAACCAAAAAATAAATATTTTTAAAAAAAATCTCTCTCTCTCTCTCTCTCTCTCTCTCTCTCTTTAAAAAAAAAAAAAGCACAAGGCAGATGAAAGTAGCTAAGGACATGGCAACCAGGAAGAAGAGAAAGTACTCTGCTCTTAAGAGAAAAATATAAACCCCACAGGTGTCCCCCAGTGACCTCCTTCCTCCAGCCACACCCTATCTGCCTACAGCTACCACCCATTTAATCCATATCAGTGGATTAACCCATTTATCAGGTTACAGCTCTCATAATCTAATCTTTTCACCTCTGAACATTCTTGCTTTGTCTCATACATGAGCTTCTGGGAGACACCTCCTATGGAAACCATAAAAATATAAAAACTATTATTTTGCTACACCTATTAAGTGAGGAAAGTCCTATTACTCCTCCCATTTTCAGATGAACAAACTGCCAATTAATATGTTCAGGTTCTTAAAAACTGAAGCTGAGTAACCTGTTTCTGGATTTAACACTTTCAATAGCTGTCTTAAATTGAATTTAATAAGAATTTTGCAATCAGAAAAATTTAGGAGTGTCCAATCTGAACACTCCTATCCAGTGCAGTATTGGACATTTTTACCAACACAATTACACAAGAAAATAAAAGGGATAAAAAACAGAAAAGGAAGAAGTCAAGTTATCACTGTTTGCAGACATGACCTTATATGTAGAAAATCTAAAAAGCTCTACCAGAAGACTGTCAGAACTAAGAAATTAATTAAAATAAGCAAAGTAGGAAGTTAAAAAAATCAACATACCAAAATCAATGGCTTTCCTATGCATGAATAATGAATTTGCTGATAAAGAAATCAAGAAAATAGGCTGGCACTGTGGCACACACCAGTAATCCCCAGCGGCACAGGAGACAGAGACAGGAGGATCTGGAGTTCAAAGCCAGCCTCAGCAATTTAGTGAAGCCCTAAACAACTCAGAAGACCCTGTTTCTAAGAAAAAAAAA